TTCCCCGGTAACACTGTACACAAAGCAGCACTGCGCTTACAAACGCTGCTTTATCAGGCATTACAGGCTCATGATGAAAAGAAAATAAGACCAATCGGACCAATCACCGCAGATTAGTGTCACGCAAAGGAGGGGTTTGGAAAAATGAATCGTTGAGCGAATCGTTTGGGAGTCCTTGAGCAAGTAAGGTAAAAATAAATGCATATTATAAGACAATGAAAGTGTTTTTGACCTTGCATGCATGACAACCTGTTGTTGGGGACTCCCAAAACCAAAATATGAACATTTCATTACCCATAATAGGGGCACTTTAAACAACTTCTCTTTTCAGCTGACATTCTGAATGCTGTTATACATGTTGACTTCTTGAAATGTACAAACCTAAAAAATGAAATTGTGGTCACACTTTGGTTTAGAGACCAATTCTATCTATTAACCACTTGACTTTTGCCTCAATAAACTCCTATTTTGCTACTTATTAATAGTTAGTAAGGTAGTTGTTAAGTGTAGTAGGATTAAAGGGTTTAAAATATGGTCATGTAGTATAAGACATTAATATGTGCTTTATAAGTACTTATGAACAGCCAATATTCTAGTAATATGCATGCTAATAAGCAACTAGCTATTAGTAAAAATGGTCCCCAAACTAAAGTGTTACCGAAATTTTAAAGTAATAGGTAGATGCTAACATTTGCACAAGCAGTACATAACAAAGAGGTGCTATCATAGTAGTGTGTCCCAGTACCGGTTTACTGTCTCGCCATCTGCTCAGAGTTATGTCCTTTCCCATCACCAGCAAAGTAAATATGTTTAGTGCATAGTAGAAGTATGGAAATTGGGAGGCAGCCATCGAAAGCTAATACTGTGCCATAATTCTGTTGCAGCAGCTTGAGACTAGCCAGCAATGGGGAAAAAATAGCCCAAATGCTATTTAAGATGCCAAGGTACTAATTAGAGCGCTTCAGTGACTCGTTCTGTGCCAATCACAGGGTTCTTGGGGTTTGTCCACTGTTTGTTTTCATCACACGCTCCTCCATTGGCCAGGAGGCCGGCGCACAGACTGCATCTGCTTTGCTTTGCTTGCACTCTGGCCTTTTCAATTAGTACTTAGACAGGGTGACAAAAGCTGTCTGGAGGAAATAGCACACTACACGAGGTGGATCTGAACACAGCTACTCATTTTCTGCTCTTTAGAGACCGCAGTACCTGGAATAGCAATTATTACACTGCATTTCTAGTTCTAGTTATACATATTTACAAGTGTAGGTAAAGCCTAGTCTTGCATAGCCAAGCTTTTGACTGTTGACTTGAAGTCTTCTGCACTTTGCAGGTCATCCTGGCCAGGATTTAGACAGGAAGAAGTTAGTCTGAAATCCCAGGCTGTCTACTGGTTACTACATTTGGTTTGAGCGAAATGTTTTTTTGTAAAAGTATACAGCGGGTAAAATAAGTATTGAACACGTCACCATTTATATTATAGTAAATATATTTCTAAAGGTGCTGTTATTACACATAACTTAATTTCTGAACTTGTTTGTTTTGTTTTATTTGTATGTATGGATACATTTCAAGTCAACAGCACTTTTAGAAACATATTTACTGGGAAAAATGGTGACGTGTTCTATAATTATTTTACCCGCTGTGTATATGTATGTAATATGGGTAGAATGACTTGCATGTAAAATGACACAGTAAATAAATAGTATAGCCAACAAACTATCTGACACAAACCAGCTCAGCAGTGATCACTGAAGGAACTGTCAAAGAAGAACAGAAGATCTGACATTCAGTGATCATCTTTTATTTTTTTATGCGATGTTGAGGGGCAGATAATTCCGATATAAATTCATAAATACCAGAAATAACAGATGTGCAGCAAAGTACATGGCAACTATTTTGAATAATAGCACAGCATTCTGTATAATAATGGATAATAATTCAACTTCACAGACAGAACTCTGAAAACAAAGTCGAATACTGTTGGACTCAAGGATATCCAGATCATCTCGAGGCTAATTAATACCTCAAAGAAAACCGTGAAATTTATTTCAAATATTCAGTGCCATAAACCTTGTGAACTTTGTAGTTCTTCATCACAAATGCTCATTAGCAACCTGGGAACTTGTAAACACGACTTTGTTTCTTGGTGGATTGATATAAAACTGTGCAGTCTGACTCAAAGGCAGCTAATCAGAATGGTCTCCCCTCCTTTCTTTTTTTTTTTTGAAGAATACTTTTTTTCCATTTTTTTTTTAGTTCAGCTGAGTGTACCTACCATGGCTAATTTGTGAAGCCTAAGGTTTCAAGTGTCAACCCTTGACTCTTTCCTCACTATTGATGGAAATTTCCATGTTTCTACTGTTATACGGTAGGGGGCGCTATTACACATCTTCTAAAAGAATGCACAATCTCCAGGACAAAACACAGGCAAAGAAGAAGCAACAAAAAAAAAACAATAGCATATGTAAGCCCAGAAAGAGTCGACACAGGAAGTGGTATAGGACTGAGTAAGCTTGTTTTGAACACTGTTCTGACTAAGATTCTGATATAGTCTTTGACAAAATCATGATTTTATCAGATTTTTGTTCAAAATGTTGCTTTTTCTGTTTCTGAAATATTGCCTGTTCAGATATTCATACAACAAAATAACCATGAAATTTTTGTGAAAAACTGTCTGGCAACCTTTTTAAAAATGCTGGCGAGGAACGCATTTTATGCATTTAATTTTGCATTTGTCCAGCTACACTGGGAAAAAAAAAATCTTGGTATTATTGTCTTGTTTTCCATTACAGATATCTAAACATTCTTGAATCTAGATATATCTAGATATATTTACTTGAGAAGCAAAATGACTGAAGATATTAAGTCTTTTGTGTTAAAAATGGTTAGTTTTTTCTTAAAACAAGGGAAAAAATATCTGCAATGTTTCTTGTTTTAAGCAAAAACTAGCACAAAATTGATATATCTTTAATATTTCATGTCTTTTTACATCTTTAATATCTGAAGTCTTTTTTCTACTCAAATGTATCTTGTTTCAAGAATGTTTAGATATTTGTAATGGAAAACAAGACAAAAATATTAAGTAAGAAAATCATTTTTTGCTGTGATGTAGCTAACATTTATTTGCTGTATTGGCTGTGGGATGATCTAGTTCCTGTTACAGAAATAGAAACTCTTCCTAACAGTGATACTTGACTCAGCATTCCCTTGCAGTTCTGATGTGCAGTTAAACCAGAGTCTGACAGCTCTTTATTAATGTCAGATTAATGGTTCAGTTATGGGAAAACTCGAGACCCCCTCAACTACATTCACATTCTCATTAATTTCAGACCGCTCAGAGACAGATTAATTGGTTGCCCTATTTGCATGGCCCAGCGAAATAACCCCGCAGACTTATGATTAACTTCCTGCTTCTGGACAGAAACCGCAGCAAAGCGTTTGACCTGTCGCGGTCAGCCTCTGTTAGGTAACTGCTTTAGTTTTTTTTAGTTCGCAGTTGACGGTCACCTTGGATTTCTCCTCCCAATTTCAATGAGGCACATGGAAGATTTTGAATATCAGTGCTGTTTGCTAAGTCAAGCATCACTGTTACTATTGCTCATACTTAGGATTTTAACCTAGCACATGATAAAATGATTGGAAAAACAACCACCCACAACACCTTAGCAGTGTTTAGTTTAGTACCAACAAGCAGCAGTTTCACTTTATGCAGGAAATATAAAACTCTCTACTCTGTATACACAATCAAAAACTAGTTTCATGTAGTCAGACTTTTGATTTTCACTATAAAATCTGTAAAATGTCCCCCCGGAGTTTTTTGTTCATATGATGAAAAAGATAAACTTGCTTCAAAGTATCTTGATTAAAACTCAGAATATCTTTCATATGTCATAACCTAATTAGTTTCTTCCTCAGAAATGTTTACATTTTACAATGAAATAATACAGGAAAAAACTGTAAAATAACAGTGTTTTTCTGTAAAATGTTTAATGAAATTTTCTGTACACATTTTTGCACATTGTTTACAGTTTTTTTCAACTGCTTACATGCAAAATCTTTACTTGTCACACTTTTTCTGAAATCTGACACACCAGAACCACACACCAAATCTGCAAAGCCATACGTTAATTGACTCAGTTTTCAATTTTGCAAAACACAACACACAATTCTCTATGTAACACAAAAATCAAACAGGAATTAATAGTATGGCAAAGGCGTTTGCAAATGTTTGCTTTTGAGATGTGTTTGTGATATTTTGAATGCTGTGCTTCATTTAGCAAGAGATGTGAGGCATTTTGCATTTTGTGTGCGCAATTCTTGGATTTGTGTGTAAAGTTTTGAAAAAAAAAAAGAGGCAAAGTTTTGGAAAATGTGTGTAAGCAGTTGAAAAAAACTTAATTTTACTTTTTTTTTTGTCGTTTGACCTTTTTTCCATTTAATTTTACACTGAAGGCGTATGATCGTAATAATTCAGCAAATATAATACAAATTTCAGTAAAAGTTATTTGCACTTTGTTCGGCAGCCATTTCTGCTAGTCATTTGATTGTGTGTGTGTGTGTGTGTGTGCAAGAGTGTGATTATAAACTGTGAAAGTGGAATATTGAGTAGATGAGTTTTGCTGTTCAGTGTGATATGCTTAATATCCTAAAGAACCTCTGTTGTCCATTTGTTAGCAATTGTTAGTTTCAAGACAAGTAAAACCTTTTAAAAAAATCAGAATGCTGATATTTTATGCTGTAGAATAAAACGGGACAATAGCTTAAGCTTGTGTTAACCACAGAGCTTTTTCAGGTATTTTATCAAAAGCCTATTAAAAAAAACCTATTGACTTCAGGACGATGGAAACGGAAGTGCAAAATTGCTTTCTTGTTTCTGGATTTTGACCTACAAAAATCATCATCATCATCATCCCTGTAACGCATGGGTTGCATCAGACTGTCCATAAACTCTTGCATTAGTCCAGCTGTTAATGATTCCTCTCTTTTCCACTTTTCTGCAGGATCCCAGAAGCAAGCACAAGTTCAAGATCCACAGCTACGGCAGTCCCACCTTCTGCGACCACTGCGGATCGCTGCTGTACGGCCTCATCCACCAGGGGATGAAATGCGACAGTGAGTGAGAACCTCTCATCATGCCCAGGGTGGAAGTCGCCCTTTTACACTCTCGCAACACCATCTTCTCTTAACCAAATCTTGATGAAACCTGTAACAAAATAAAAAGGAACTGGCCATAGATCAGTATAAAAGGGCAGCTCCTGCCTTTGGCCTACAAAATTAATCTGTTTCTGCTTTTCTCGTCCATTATGAGGTCAAATGTACTTAATTTGAACCAGAACATTCCTGTTTCTCTCGAGCGCTCTGCCTCTAATGGGAATGTTATCACAGATTTTAACGAGACAGATTGAAGTAATTTATGTGGGAACAGCAGCATGTTTGTAATTACATTTATACAATCTGCTCATCCTCACTTCTCTGAGACAACACACCACAGCGATTTTTTGTTTCCACATATCAACTTCAGCCTCAGCATGGTACACGCATACTTTCTCTGCCGCAGGCCTGGTGCTGCTGTCCAATAGCAAAAGCCATACGAATACACCTTTCCAAATAAAAACACTCCAACGAAAAAGGTTTGCTTGTTGTTAAAGTGCCCCTTTTATGGATTTTTGAAAATTACCTTTCATGCACTGTGGGGGACTCCCACAGCTCTAAGTGAATGAAAACATCCTGCAATTTTTTTAATCTGAAAGTGCACCATGTATAAAGTTATTGTCTCAAAATAAAGAGTTGACTCTGAATCACTGAAACGAGTCGTTTTTAAAACGAATCCCATTAGCATATTGCCCGCCCACTTGTTGGTCTTTTCGCGTTGGTCTGAATGAAAATGCAAATTCATTCTTTGCCACTAGGTGCTGCTTTTGGAGCGGTAAAAATAGTGGTTTCCCGGCGGTAATGCTGTACACAAAGCAGCACTGCGCTCACAAATGTTGCTTTATCAGACATTACAGGCTCATGATGAAATGCAATCGGACCAATCACTGCAGATTAGCGTCACGCAAAGGAAGGGTTTGGAAAAATGAATTGTTGAGCGAAGCGTTTGGGAGTCGTTGAGCAAGTAAGGTAAAAATAAATGCATATTATAAGACAATGAAAGTGTTTTTTGACCTTGCATGCATGTCAACCTCTTGTTGGGGACTCCCAACACCAAAATATGAACCTTTCATTACCCATAATAGGGGCACTTTAACTTGAAATTTATCATGTTCACCTTCAAAATACAAATTCCATGTCTTATGTAAAGATTCATCAGCTCATGCTATTCAAAGGATAAAAGGTTTTCATAATGTGCAGGAGCTTTGTTCATACCAATAAAAAGTTTATGTGGATTAGACAAAATGATGCATATTTGCATACATTCTTACAAATATTTCCTTGAAAAATCATATTTTTGTGGCAGTCAGTTTTACATCTAAAATGGTTCTGGCTTGTGGCCTATGTATGGCTTCTACACTTATTTTATTAAAACCACAAAGAGAAAATTAAAACCCAGGCTCATTGAAAATACGTGCTTGTGGCAACGTTTCTGCAAAACCGATATTACATTCCTTACTGCATGTTTAGTGGCAGTTTCAAAGTTAAATGCCCAGTGAGTGGCGCTAAAATGTGCGTTCAATGCATGACCGTGGCTATGTTGGTTCAGGCACGTATTGCAGTGGTTCAGAATTTAAATGTGCAGGGAGTGTCGCTAAAGGGTTAATGCTCTATCATGTTGGAAAAAAACATACCCACTACACCAAACCCAACCCTAAACCTACCCGATAGTGTTAACGAAAGCAAAAGTGATATAAAAACACATATGCAATCCTGATATTTAAACTTCCTTATATGCTGGTTTGAGCTGTTTTGTTGAACCGTAGGTTCATGAGATTCGTACAAGAGCTCTTTACCTCAAGTGCAACACCGTATCACGAGAGCTGCCGAGCAAACCTACTGCGTTAGTACATACTCTTACATATGAAGCTGTAAATATGACGCAAATGTTCAAAAGTATCCGTTTTTTAAATCTCCCAGCATTTTTTAAAGTCATAACATAATATTGTGGGAGAATTAGGCTATCTTAATCGAACTCTGGCCCTGTAAATCATACTTTGTGTGAAAAGATATAAAAGTTGTCAAAGTTTTGTTAATTTCAACTAAAAACTGCAGTGATTCATACATATAGGTCAATTTTTTGAGTTTTGAGCAGAAATGTAAGTAGAACCACGTATTTCCAGTAAGCCTGGGTAGGAAAATTAGCAAGCAGAATAAAGGAGCCATTATGTCAAATTGACTGTTGTGGATATAGACAACTTATTACAATTTAATCAATTCCCAATATATTCAGTCAAGCCCTATTGACTGCCCTGTTCTGTTGAAAACACTGTGGAAGGAATCTGGGTTGTGAATGTCATTTCATGTTGACTTTATTATGTCTAATCCTGTAGTGTTTACAGATGTTTCTCTCTCTTATTCTCAGCCTGTGACATGAACGTTCACAAGCAGTGTGTGATGAATGTGCCAAGTCTGTGCGGGACCGACCACACTGAACGCAGAGGAAGACTCTTCCTCAAGATCGAGGTCAGCGGAGACAGACTTCACGTCACAGGTCAGCATCCGGCATGCACTGGGAATATCATTGTCTTGTATCTGCCTGAAAGATTGTATTTAGTCACATTACTGCTTACCAAATAAACAAAGCTAAAGCCATCTCTCAGAAATCACGTGAGTACTAAATTGAATAGTACTTAGCACACTTGACCCAGACAAATACACACAAAATAATGTAAAAATCCCAATCTTGGCACACAGTCAGTTATGGCTCAAGAATGTAAACAGTTTGGAGAAAATCAGATATATGCCAATTTATTGGATATGTGAATTAGGTCTTAAAGTGACAGCAGCCTAATATACCTGCTGTTGTCTGTGTCCTTAATGTTAAAGGGGTCATATGATGTGGCTAAAAAGAACATTATTTTGTGTATTTGGTGTAAAAAACACATTATTTTCCACATACTGTACATTATTGTTTCTCCTCTATGCCCCGCCTTTCTGAAAGGCGTCGATTTTTACAAAGCTCATCGGTCTGAAAAGTGAGGTGTGCTCTGATTGGCCAGCTATCCAGTGCGTTGTGATTGGCCGAATACCACAAGCGGGTGACGGAAATGTTACCCCCCTTACCATGCTGTGAGGCCCTGTCCGGCCGGAGTGACGATTCAAAAACATTAAAACCCATTATAAACGAGGCATTTGTTGCATCCAGTGGGGACATAATTACGGATTATAATGATTTATACTGTCTTTTTACGCGTTGCGTTGCATCGCGCCACGTAAACATAAAACCATGTCTGCATTTGTGATCGGAGAAATTACAAACAAGCGCTACTCTACACTGCTCAAAACTCACGTTTGAATCATCAGTGGCAAATCCTTTAAATATGAGAACTTACTTACAGTCTGTGAGTCAGAAGAGCCGGCATTGTAGTCTACTCTCCCAGGAAATAGTCCTCCATAAAATGTGCTGCACACAAATGAATATTTGGGTTGAACTGTTCTGGAACAGTGTTGTGAATCCGCCCACCCGCCACTAGAAATCAGTGGTTAAGTTGTATTCACAACACTGTTCTGGAACAGTGTTGTGAATACAACTTAACCACTAATTTCTAGTCGTGTCCTATTTTGGAAGTCCAAACAAAGTAGTTTCGCTTTCACAACGAAACACACGGCGGACTAGAGTGAGCGGCGGCCGGAGGGCTAGAGTGAGTGGTGGTCGGCGGCTAGAGTGAGCGGAGGCTGGAGGGCTAGAGTGAGCGGTGGCGGGTGGGCTTGAGAACGGCGCGGCCGGCGGATTCGACAAAGGAGCGGTTGGCGGGCTTGCGGCAACCACAAGTGACGACCCCAGGCTGGACTCTGCTTCATTCACGGTGAAAGCCGATCCGGCGATCCACAGCGCGAAGTTGATGTATTCCCTCAGCGACCAACACGGATCAGCTCCAGGCATGACGAATCGGATATCGTCCTCTTTTGGAAGACCAAACAAAGTAGTTTTGCTTTCACAACTAAACACACAGCACCTTCACGACATGGCGGCAGCAACAATACTACAGCGAGAATAAAAGTTACGCCTTCTTTCTTTGCGTGAACATTTGGGCAGAGTTATGCAAATCTTCCCCCTTCGTGACGTAGACATGTGGGGGCGTGTTAGAACGAGCCGTTTTAGGTAGGCGTGGTTGACTCTTAACTTTTATAAAGAATATCTCTTTGGATTTGAGACTTTAGTCTTTGCAACTTTACAGATCTTCTTTATGCACCAAGAGCTTGTAACACTCCAAAGAGAAAGGAAAAATGTATATCAAAATAAATTGTTAGCAGATATTCTACTAATATTCTAATAACTCATAGTTGACATTTAATTTATACAGTGAAGACTACGCAATGCTATTTTTTTTAAATTTCTGTAGCATTTCTTACCTGCATACTGCTCTTGAACATACTCTTAATAGACCTAAAGCACTGTTTATTTAATTTGTCTTTGGTCTATAGTATTTATTTGTGCTATTGCTAGTAATTTGTTTATTGTTCTTATTTTATTACTGACTGTATACTTATCTTTAATAATGTTTGAACTTTATATTTTGTTAAACTAGTAGTTTTTGCTGCGGTATCAAAATGTAAAATTGTTTTTTTATCACAAAATGTAAATTTGTTTGTTTGTCAGAGCAAGTAAACAGGGCAAATTAGTGTGAGACAGCAATCTCATAAAAGCACCAATAGGAGTGAAAAGTCCTGCGGCTCATCTACTGACAGTGTGCAAATAAAAAAAACACAGACACAGCCATTTAATTTCCATAAAGACAAACGCAATCTTCCAAGAGCTGCGTAAATTAGCAGAGGGTAGCAAACAAGCAGAGGGGATGAGAATCAGGTGTGTGTAATCTGCTAACAACCCAAGCACAAAATGGGTTAAGACATGCGTTTGGGTGTTTGTCTTTGGGCATTAAATACTGGTGCTAATATCAGTAAACTTACTACCGCAAAGCTTAGTAAATCACCTTGCATGATTTATTAACTACTTGTTTATTAGCATGCATATTACTAGCATATTGGCTGTTTATTAGTAGCCTACTTAGAAAACACATATGAATGCTTTATTCTGCACAACCATATTTTAGTTACCTTAAACCTACCCCATACCTAAACTTAACAACTGCCTTACTAACTATTAATAAGCAGCAAATTAGGAGTTTATTGAGGCAAAATCCGTAGTCAATGGTTTATTAATAGGGAGAATTGGTCGTCAAAATAAAGTGTGACCAAATATTCTTGTGGTGCAAATGCATATGCAGTAAGATCAGCTGCAAAAATAACTGTGTCTACTCCTTTTCATCACTAATTTTCCACTATGTGTCTTAAATAAATCATGACAGTAGTTTGGCTCAAGCTGTTAGTAAATCTGGCCCTATGCGTTGAGCCCTGAACATGAAATTTGTCTAGTCTAAAAATTATATTTATCCAGATAGTCCTGGGCTGCGTTTCCCAAAAACTTCGTAAGCCTAAGAAGTTCGTAAAAATGATCGTACGACTGATCTTAATATTACGGTCTGTTTCCCAAAAGCATCGTAACTTAAGTAGCACTTGAAAATCATTGTAGATCTACGAGTGCTCTGGAGTAATCGTAAAGCCCTAAGTGCATCGTAAGAAGACAGAGTTATGCGGTCACCTGCAGGACAATCGGCAGATTGCACCTTTAACTTTATTCAAGTGCAATGTGATTATAATATAACGTTTTGATTGTACTTTATTGTACACTTTATTTATCTTTTTTTTTTTAATGAATTTATAAATGAAATAATTAAAAAGGCCAGGAAAAATTGAAATACACATCTAAATTGATTGATTGAACCAAAAAAAAAAAATGAATATAATAAGTAATGTAGGAAATATGCTTTAAAGACTGGGAGGAAAAAATCTGTCAATGACTTACTGACGTGCACGAAAACCAGTGTATTGGACCCAGAAATAACATCTCTATATAGATGTTATATACTATAATATATATTTTTGTATAAAGTATATTGTATATAATTATGTAAAGTATAAGATTATACATATAAATATAATATAATATAATTATTGTTATTATATCCAAGTTGTCTGGAACTCAGCATTAGGTTAACATTTCAATAAACGAGCGTGTACTACAATTACGAGCCATTCTATAAGGTGATATTTCAGCACTTGACAAACTAAAAAGCACGGCTACATGCGATTGCGTTAAGTGCATTTTTGGGAAACGCACGTGAAACAATAACGAACGATTGTAAAATGACTCGTAGAAAACGCTCTTAAGCGCTAAGATCAATCGTTATCGAGAACCGCAGCCCTTGTCATTTTAATGCTTCTAAATTGTTAGTATAATTCGCATATGTTCCTATTTTTATATGTTTGCATGATCCTTGCAAGTTCACATTAGTCTTATTACTCAGATTTGATAATACTTTGATGCTGTTCTTCCACAGACGGCCAGTTAGCATTAAGCTATCATGGTAGGTCATGTGTTGGGGGTTGAGTGGGTTTAGAGATTGAGCGTGTGTGTGTGTGGAGGACTCAGGGTCACAGCAGGACACGGGCAGGCAGCAGGTATAAGGGAGCTTAAGTGCCAGATGTCTGGCCTGATGCCCGGCTGGTGTGGGGGTTTATGTGGGGGAGGAGACATGTATGTCAGCCTGTGGCCGCTCAGAGACTCTTGCTCCAGTGAACACATTCCTGTGAGCTGGCACCTCTTCCCTGCTGTGAGAATATCATCTCTGCTTATCTCTGACCTTACACACACAGACATGCTGAAGTCAAGCAGGGCCTTCACACTGATCCACTGATAATTACTCTATACATCTGGAGAATTCATCACGAGTCCTGTTCAGCAAGTTATTAAAAGTCATAAATTGTGATTATAGTGACGGAGCCATTTTCTATACTGTTGCATTTTATTTCCCCCTGAATTGCACTTGATGATGTTAGTCAAGGGTTCTTTCACCCCACACACACACACACACACACACACACACACACTCACAAAAACATTAGTTTCATTTGTTTTTTAGTTGCGTTTTCCATCTTCTCAGGATAGTTCTTTTACTCACATTCATGTTGTTCCAAACCCATAAAACATTTGTTCTTCTACAGAAAACCTAGGAGATTTCTGTTCATCTATTAAAAGTTTAGGCAATCAAAAGTTTCAAGCTCCAAAAAGGTCATAAAGGCATCGTTAAAAAAAGTAATCCATGTGACTCCAGTGATTCAATCCCAATTTTATGAAGCGATGTGATTGCTTATGCATGTGGAAACAAAATATCTTCATATGAATTGCTTTTATGTGGCCTTTATGACCTTCTTGGAGAAACTTTTGATTACCTGGACTTTCAGGAGATTGATAAAGCTCTCAGTTTTTATTAAAAATAACTTCATTCGTGTTTTGAAGATGAATGAAAATCTTATGGGTTTGGAACGAAATGAGGGGCGGTAAATGATGACAAAATTGTCAATTTTGAGAGAACCATCCTTTTAAAATTAAACAGACTGTTTTGAAAGAAGAAAGAAGAAGTTATGATTGGAAGAGCTATGATGCTATAGACTAGTACAGTTTGGTCATTTGGAAAAAATGAGTGTACTGTACACTAATGTGCTTAAATTGAATTAATAATTACGCCCCGTTCACACCAAGAACGATAACTATAAAGATAACGATATTAGCGTCCACACCAGCGGACGATATCATCTGATTATTACGAGCGCACGCTCATCTGCCGCTTAAATTCTTGAGCTCGTCATATCAGGATTGATTCTGATTGTTCATCAGCTGGGAAAAAAATCGCATTGAAAGGGATTCCAACGATATCGTTTCTCTGTGCCTTTATCATTATAGCTGTGGTGTGGACTGCTATTCTTTAATATAACTATATCGTTATCGTTATAGTTATCATTCTTGGTGTGAACGGGCCTTTACACTTTATTATTCAAATGTTTATTATCCATTAAAAATGTCCATAGATTTTGAAAAGGATGCAAGGAGAGCTTACACTTCTGTTAACTGGACAAGAGTACATGGTTATAGGCCAAAGTTTTGAGTTGGGCGCATTAGGTCACACTTTATTTTAAGGTCTAATTCTCGCTATTAACAAACCATTAACTATGACTTTTGTTTCAATAAACTCCTAATTTACTGCTTATTAATAGTTAGTAAGGTAGTTGTTAAGTTTAGATATTTGGTAGGATTAGGGATGTTGAATATGGTCATGCATTAATACATGCTTTATACTGTAAGTACTAATAAACAGACAATATGCATGCTAATAAGCTGCTAGTTAATAGTGAGAATTGGTCCCTAAAGTGTGTTTTTTTTTAAATATATTAAAAAACTAAACATATTTTAAACTGTAATAATATTTACAATATTGTTCGTTCTGTATTATCAATCAAATAAATGCACCTTTGGTGAGCATAAGATACTTCTTTTGAAATGTTTAAAAAGAATCTTACTGACATCTAACTTTGCAATGGTAATGTATCTTTTTCTTCCTTTTTTCAGCTAGATATTGCTCTTTAGTCAAAAACTTGGTTGCAATCCGTAGTGATTTTTGATGTCTGAGTTGTTCTTTAGATCGAGTTATGTTCATTAAATTGTTCACAAGTGATTTGTGAATTTTCTCAATCAAAATGATTTTGAAATTTGCAATCACAAATGACTGGAAAGGTCTTGGTAAAGTCATGGATAAAAAAAAAAAAGTATGGTAACTCTAAATCCAGTGCATTGGTGGTCCTAGCCAAACAGTGAAGGAACATGAAAGACACTGGACATGAAAAAAAGACAGCTGCAGTTCATTAGAGACAGAACTCTGGTCCCTTTTTAATGTATAGTTAATACATAATAGTTAATATATATAGTTTCATCTTGGTTTTATTTCGTAAATAAACTATTCTGATAAATGATTTATCGTTATTGATTAAACAGAAGCATGCCAGCTGTGCACAATCAACACCACTTATAATACAGGGTTTTCACTTAGAAGTAACAGTCCTTTCACATGCGGTTTATGGCATTTTGCTTGTGATGTGAACCTGCAATTTTGCATATGAGGCCTCGCACTGGTTCTGATCGCTCTCTGTAGGCCTGAACTTCTGGAGTCTGTTTGTCTTCATTGAGGGGTTTTATTACATAACCCCCACCCCCAAGCTTTGGCCACTGCTAAACATGTTGGTGGTCCCTATCAGCACTTCCCTCATGGATCCCATTTGTAATGGAGGGCTCGAGTTACTGTGAGTCCTGCCTGAGGTATGGCTCAGTCTTATCAACCTCTGTCTCTCTGGATTCTGGAAGCGGTATAAAAGTTAAAGAGCCGGCACTGCCCAAAGATGTGCGTTCTCGCTCCACACCGAGGATGGAAATGTTGTGGTTATTATTTAAAGCGATGACTGTAGGTGATATTTAGTGGCTGCCAGTTGGAATTCACATCCTGCCATACTTTTGTGTGGTTTTATTTTATCTATGACTCATTTTGTTCTCGCTGCCAGATATCAGATCAGGCCTTTGGCAGTATAGCTGTGACATGCTGGTCGAGGTAGTGTTGATGGGTCATCAAATGGGAGGATGAAGATGCATGGTATTATTGGCTCTGTGGGCATGAAAAGTTTTATGCATTGTTTCATCTCCTTATTCTGGAAACAGTGTCTATTTGTGCACTTTAATGTACATGACTGACCTGGAGCTTTCTGTGGATATTTCTCGCAGGTTAAGTATCTCAAATGCACAGAGGAGATAAATGCGACCGAGTGTTTGGATTGAGATTTATTGCTGTTAGTGTATGTGAGTTTGTTTATTCTGGGCTGAAGTCAGACGGAGGAATCTTGGCTAACCCTTCCTGTTTTGTGGATAAACAATGGGAAGAAACGAGCTCATCTGACTGCATTATCAGATTACCCAGCATGCCGTGGACTGGACATTTGGCGGTTATGTAACAGCACATCGGAATTTCTCAGGCTATTCGTGCGATTTGAGCGTCCATGGAAAACCACATGTAAAAATAGCCTTTAAAGTATTGTTATGTTTTAGGCATTCATGCTGCCATCCGTTAAGATCAGTTAGATATGTTTTACTGAAGTTTAGGATGACATAATATGGGTTACATTGCTAGTAATGTAGCAGCAATATGAAGAGGAAACATTATGATTATTTCATTAAATCTCTAAAAGTTTTATCAGCCATAGATTCTAATGCATTTTTCATCTAAACATTCGTAAGGAGCTGATGCCAAATACCAACTCTGGCCTTCAGAACTAAAAAAAAGCTCACTGGATTTTAAGATGAATGAATTATGATGCTACACTGTAAAAATTATTTTTGCAACTTGTGAATAAAACAAAGATTATTAGAGTACACTTTAGAACAATAATATTTCAGTTTTTCTACTTCAAAAATGTCATGTTTAATTCAATGTGTTACTTCGGTCACACTTTATTTTAAGGTCCAGTTCTTGCTATTAACAAACCATTAACTACGACTTTTGTCTCAATAAACTTCTAATTTGCTGATTAACAATAGTTAGTAAGGTAGTTGTTAAGTTTAGGTATTGGGTAGGATTAGAGATGTAGAATATGGTCATGCAGAATATGTGCTTCATATGAACTAATAAACAGCCAATATGCTAGTAATATGCATGCTAATAAGCAACTTCAAATAAAGTATTACCAATTTGATATTATATTAATATACCAACTGACAGGGTTCTCTGTATATACAGTATTAGTTAAGGTCAGTTAAAAAAATTACAATGTAATGATATTGATATTAAATCAATTCATGAAAGCTGCGTTAATACTCAGTGGCTGCTATAAAGTGTTTTAACCATGTTGCTACATTATGTAGGTGATTTTATGGCATTGCCAGATTAAAAATGTACGATTGTTTGCTTAGTAACGTAACAAAACTCCTCTCTACAACAAGCCACAATACTCAGTGGCTGCTATAAAGTGTTTTAAGCATGTTGCTACATTATGTAGGTGATTTTATGGCATTGCCAGATTGCCAGATTAAAAATGTACGATTGTTTGCTTAGTAACGTAACAAAACTCCTCTCTACAACAAGCCACATGATCTGAAGAACCATTCATGACAAACAGTGTGAGACTGTACACTAAAGTTTAATACTTAGGGGTTTGTTAAAAGCATTAACCCTAACTACACAGCAGATCAACTGATAGAACATAGTTTAGTAAATCAAATGCAGTTGCTTTGAATGATTAATTTCATAATCAGACTGTGTCATTACATGTACAAGATATTCTTCTTTTTTTCGGGGTAACTTTTGGCACGAATATAACTCCCAGAAGACTATGTTTAAAGACACATGAAAGGAGATTCAGCTGGAATTAACAACGGTGGATCTGATTCCATCTCAAAAGCCTCAGAAGAGCCAGAGGAAGCAAACGGATGAGCGTGGCGCTTCTTGTAGATGTTGTATCTAAGCAACAGCCACAGAAAAAACCTTGATTCTTGTTGACGTCTCTCTGTCAGCTACCAAGTGTAGGCGACGTGGAGAGTCAAATTAATAGCCACTATCACTATCAGACCTTGGGAATGAGTTTTCTGTACATTAGAGCTTCTTAAGAGATTTGAGCGATGTTTTCCTCACATTCAGAGTGAGCTCTGTTCAAGTTGCTTCCTAATGTTCCTGTGAGAAAGACTAAAGAGACACGTCTCCCCCTTTTGGTTATTAATAAAAATGCAGCTTGCCCGTTTTTGCAAGAGGCTGTTTTTTTTTTTGACAGGATCAAATGCTACTTCACCTTCTTTGTTGCTGTCTGAGAATCATTTAGCAGTAAACTTATGAAAACTTACTTAAAATATGAGTAATATAGATGAGATGGTGGCGCTTAATTCCTGTTCCTGTGTAGGGATGTAGAATGTGGTCATGAAGAATATGCACTTTATAAGTACTAATAAACAGCCAATATGTTAATAATAGGCATGCTAATAAGCAGCTAGTTAATAGTGAGATTTGGTCCCTATACTAAAGTGTTACTGTGTTTTCTTGTTTCTGTTTTTGTTTGAAGAGTGTTGAGTGTGGTTTGAAGTTTGTGTGTTTAAATATATTTGGTTTCTTTCTCTTTAATCAGTGGGTGAGGCCCGAAATCTGATTCCCATGGACCCCAATGGTCTGTCAGACCCGTATGTGAAGCTCAAACTCATCCCAGACCCCAAGAATGAGACCAAACAGAAGACCCGCACCATCCGCTCCTCGCTCAACCCCACCTGGAACGAGTCCTTCATCTTGTGAGTCTGTCAGTGGTAAATACACACTCTCACGGCATTGTAGATGTGTTTTCTCATGCATGTTTGTGTGCAGTAAGTTAAAGCCATCGGATAAGGAGCGCCGTCTGTCCGTGGAGGTGTGGGATTGGGACAGAACCACCCGTAATGACTTCATGGGCTCCATGTCCTTTGGTGTGTCTGAGCTGATTAAAGCTCCTCTATGTGGCTGGTGAGTCAAAAACACTGGCACCACAAACTGTTGTTTTTCTCACATACATTTCAATGTAAAATAGATGAAATGCATATAATACAGTGGCTGATATTACAGTATTAATCTATCATGTAAGTTATTCCTGTATTTTGAGATAAATTGGTGCTTTCACACTGCAGCTCTTATTCAGGCAATAAACCATAAAAGGACATGCTTGTGATTTTACCACAGGTTCTTAGGCACAGTGCAACATGGAGTAGAATAAAAAAAAATCATGGGAACTGCAATACACTAATGTTCAATAAATATTTAAAGATATTAATAAAAATCACAATTCTTCAATTCTTATATACAGGTGTGGTCATAAGTTTACATACACCTTAGTGAATATGTACAGTGTTGAGGAAAGTGTCACGGTTTTGTCACAGCAGTTTACTAGAGAGAGACCCAGATGCAGAATGATCAAGGGAGTGAGGTTTATTGACAAGACAAGGAACGAATGGGATGATGTGAGAGTCCAAGCAGAAGGAAAGGGCAGTCTGCTGGTCCTTGGTCAGACCTGAACAAAGTCTTGCTGGAGAACAAAGAAGATAGAGCAACACCAGTCAATGAGAACACTGGATATCAGGCAGCAGCTTGAGAAACCAGGGCTTGATGCTTTGAGCTGTAGTGATACCAGTCCAGTCAGATAGCCAGGTCTTGAGAACAGCAGCCAGAAGGGATTCAGGACACAGAACAGGAACAAACACAAGACAAGACCACAAGAGAGAACAAGCTGCAGCAAAATAACACACTGACTACACACTATTACTAGAATTAAAAGAAAAGAGAAACAAATACAAACTGCAGAGAGCAAATGAAATAAAAGAACCAAAAGGCAAATTCTAGAAAACTGGGCAAAGACAAAATCAAAAGAAAGAAAGAAACCAAACTAGAGGCTTGAGAAAACTAGAGCAAACAAAGACAGGTACTAGAATTAAAAGAAAAGAGAAACAAATACAAACTGCAGAGAGCAAATGAAACAAAAGAACCAAAAGGCAAATTCTAGAAAACCGATAACTAGGATAAAAACTGGGCAAAGACAAAATCAAAAGAAAGAAAGAAACCAAACTAGAGGCTTGAGAAAACTAGAGCAAACAAAGACAGGAACTAGACTAGAGCAAAATAACAAAAAGCAAAAGAAACCCTAATTAACTTCAAGAGAACTAAATGCAAAGCTAGACTGACTAGGAGTGTAAAATATAACGCTACTAATATGACCAGTAGACTGATAAGGAATTATCTTACACGCAGTGAACTAACACAACGAGCCAGCAAAGACATGAGGGAAGAGGCACACTATAAAAGAGCAGAACACATGAGGAACAGGTGGACACAATCAAGTTAACCAGGACTAGACTATGACTAAACAAGGGGGCGTGGTAGAGGGAAACAAGGGGGCATGACGAGTGGAGCACATGGCCAACATAAATAAAGACAAAGCCATGTGCTCAGACACAAGACAAACAAGGAAACGTCAAACAAAGACAGAACAGACATGACCGTCAGGGCAGGACCCTGACAGAAGGTTTCTTTTAAAAGTGATACATTGCAATATTGTGTTACTCCCTAAAAAGTAACTGATTGTGTTAGTTACATTTATGGAAAGTATTGTGTTAAATTACGTTTGCGTTACTTTTTCTCATCTTGGTTGGGCTTGTTTGTTTTAATAAATAAAAAGTTTTACTTTTGGCTAATGTAAAAGTCCTTTCACACCAGAAATGAATAAGCCTCCGACTGAAGGAGATGTCAATTTAAAGACATTTTTGCTTATTAGTATGGTTGAATTGGATCAGATAGATTAATAAAATTGGATTAAATACATAAAGGATAATTGTGTTATTTCATAGATTTAATTATTGCAGGTTTGTGCCATATTCTGAGTTTGCATTTTACCATTTTTATTCATTTTGAGGAATACTGAATCTGTTTTTGTGCAAGTGAGATGAGTAAATGCATGTTCACATTTAGTCTAGAACTACAGTAACATCATGTTTATGTGTTCCCTAATCTAAATTGTTACCAAGATCTTTAAACAAAATTACAAAAATGTTGGTCACGCTTTATTTTAAGGTCCATTTTCACTCTTAACTAACTATGAGCTACGACTTTTGCTTCAATAAACTCTTAATTTGCTGCTTATTAATAGTTAGTAAGGTAGTTGTTAAGTTTAGGTATTGGGTCGGATTAAGGGATCCATAATATGGTGATGCAAAATAAGACATTAATATGTGCTTTATAAGTACTAATAAACAGCTAATATGCTAGTAATATGCATGCTAATAAGCGACTGCTTAATAGTGAGAATTGGTCCTTAAACTGTGTTACCAAAACAATTTTACACCCCCCTCTTAATGCATCACATTGACTTCTTGAGCATCATGTGGTTTAACGGCTTCGGACAAACAAGAGCACATTAAGAATTAACTGTACAGTATGTACTTTTGAACAAGGTCATTTTTTATAACTTTTTCATTGCATTCAAGGTCATTGCAAGATCATTTTTTAACTTTTGAACAAGGTCATTTTTATAAATGCGTCTATTATTTTGTCTTGTAGATATCTGATATGTGCAAACGCTTATTCTGGGCTGTACCAAAAAAATTGCATTTTTATAATTTCTCTTATTTATTTATTTGTAATTATTAACATTTAAAAAGGTGTGTGTAAATTTAAGACTACAGGTGTAGTTTATAAGTTAAACTGTGGGCCGTTTATGAAAACAAAAAGAAGAAGAAAAAACAATCAGTGAACTAATGATTAGTGCATTAATACGCAGCAGGTGCAGACTATTTTACAATGACTTAATAAATTATTATAATGTAATATGTAAGTGAAGTAAAGTGTCAAAACATTAAGAAGTAGTAGTACACTAGATTTAGTTCTATGAAATCTGGCATAGAAGAGGTTCTGTACTTTTTGAATTGGAAAACATTAGTCCTGATCTGATTTGCTCCCAACATCACCTTAATATCACTGGTGCCGATCGTTAAAAAAGTCAGTGTAGCTTATAAATTACAGAGTGATCTATGGACAAAAGAGTGTGATTTATTTTAATGTCTCTGGTGCTGGTGTAATGAGGGCTCCTCTGAGAGACCATCCACATCAAATGAGTGTATATGAGAGAAAGTTCACAGGAACCCAGAGCTGCTACCTCAGCTTTATGATGTATGACAACAGGAAGTACGGTTTCTTACTAAAGCCATAAAATAACAGATAACAGTGTACCGTCATTCATTCAGAGGCTGCAGGCAAGCATTTTAATGCACATTGCTGTGGTTTATGCCTTTTTACAGCCATGCTGTATATGCAGGCGTGTACTTTTTGTAAACAAAGCTACTATTACTGTACCATGCTTTTTTAGACTGTATCATGATACTATAAATTTCAATTGTGTCTGATATTCTCTTGTTTGACAGGTATAAGATGTTAAACCAGGAGGAGGGTGAGTACTATAACGTGCCCATCCCAGAGGAGAGCGACATTAACCTGGAGCTGCGGCAGAAGTTTGAGGTGAGAGTGTGTGTTTATCTCTTCAGACACACTCATTCATGCCAGAGGAGCGTTGAAGAGTCCCGCACGGCTGTTCATTATCAAGTCAAGTGATTAAATTGCACGTTAACGTGTAGTGAATGTTCAAATAACAGCATAGGACGCACTAATACGGCTTAGACTACTGTAGATCGTGACTCTCAAAGACCAAAAAGCCACTGTCAGGGTCACCATAGCAACTGTTTCCATGGTGAGATCTCGTGGTTGCTGTGTTGGTGGGATGCTGAGGGACACGACGGGTGCTGAGATCCCTTTGTCAAGTGTTTGCTTATTATGCAACGAATGTTTGGCTTAATAATGCCGGAAATGTTTGCTATTGTGTGTCTCTCTTTTTGGAAACTCCTCAAACTGTTTTGCTGATGTCAACTGATGTCAACGTATTGTTGACAAATTAATGTGACGCTTAGTTTGGGCACAACTCGTGGTTGTCAGTGGATCATGTTGATAGTTAATATGATAAACTTGATCTGTGGTTAATCTGCATGGACACTTGAGGAGAACTGAGCAAAAAATATCCCAGAAGAATTTACCCTAGAATTGTTTCTTTGATTATTTAGTTATATAATGCAGTGAAATTCATGTGCTTTTAAATGTGGCTTAAAGGGGTCATATGATGCGATTTCAAGTTTTCCTTTCTCTTTGGAGTGTTACAAGCTGTTCGTGAATAGATAAGATCCCAAAAGTTGCAAAGACTAAAGTCTCAAACCCAAAGAGATATAAAAGTTAAGACTCGTCCACGCCCTCCTAAAACGCCTCATTTACAACACTGTTCCAGAACAGTTCAACCCAAATATTCAGATGTGTGCAACGCATTTTACGGCAGATGAGGACTGTTTCCTGAGAGAGTAGCCTACAATGCCAGTGTTCCGGTGAATTCAGTTCCCCTGTTTCCCCTTCGGTGTGCATGCTGACCCTATACAGTCTATGATGCTGACAAATAATGCTGACTCACAGCCTGTAAGTACGTTTTCATATTTAAAGAATTTGCCACTGATGATTCAAACGCGAGTTTTGAGCAGTGTAGAGTAGCGCTTGTTGTTTGTTGTTTCTCCGAACACAAACTGTGTTCTTATACTTAACCAATACTTAACCTGAAAAACTTAGTTTCATAGCTCTCTTTATTCTATTGCATTTATTTTTTGCTGTTGTTTGCAATTTTTTTGTTCTTATTTTATTACTGACTTTTTACTTGTTTTTTTATATGAAAATAAAACTTTGCGTTGAAGAAAAGTCGATTTTTGTTTGTATATGCTGTCAATTGTAGTTCTTAGAAAGAAAATCGGAATCGGCAAAAATCGGTATCGGCAGATCTCACTAACAAAAAAATCGGAAATCGGAATCGGCCAAGAAAATTGCAATCGGTGCATCTCTGTAAAAAAGACAGTATAAGTCATTATAATCCATAATTATGTCCCCACTGGATGCAACAAATGCCTCATTTATAATGGGTTTTCATGTTTTTGTCTCATCGCGCCGGGACACAGGATCACAGTATGGTAAGGAGCGTAACATTTCCATCACACACTTGAGGTATTCGGCCAATCACAACGCACTGGATAGCTGGCCAATCAGAGCACACCTCGATTTTCAGACCGATGAGCTTTGTAAAAATTGAAGCGTTTCAGAAAGGCGGGGCATAGAAGAGAAACAATAATGTACAGTATGTGGAAAATAATGTGTTTTTTGAACCGCATAAACACATTTCATTACACAAAATACACAAAATAATGTTATTTTTTGCAACATCATATGACCCCTTTAAGTGTCCAAATACGTTTTGGGCCACTGCATATAAAAATAAATAACAATACAAATATAGAAAAAAAAATAACTACAGTTCTCTGCAGTAATCGACCAATAGAATAAAGCATTGCATCTTAAAAAGAATTTAAACAAAAGTTTGGAGGGCAAAATCCATTATTACATTTGATTGTCTTTTGGTAGTAGTACAGATTTTGAACTACCTTCGCAAAATCTTTATTTGTGGCAAACTAGTTTGTAATGAGGGTTTACACTTTATATTTGAAACGCTAAACTAAAAAAAGTCAAAATTGTGAATCTGTTTGGACAAAACAGGCACTAGGTATTGCACCATTAGGCACCAGATTGTTTTTCAACATTTTTATTGACAATGTTTGTTTCAAACACTCTCCTAGCAACTATGGGCAGAAATAATGGCAAATATTACTAGACAGTCTGGTAAAATGCTTTCTGTATGCCACCTTCTGCAGTTTTGCTAATGCTCGTGTCAGTTGTCTGTCAGTGAGTGATTTGTCAGTGACTGTGTTGGTTTGACTGATCCTCTCTCCTTGTTCTGTGATGCTTGTTTCCTGCCTCTTCGAGACTGAAGAGAAAAGAAAAGACCTGCTGTGTCTCCACAGTTCCTGTGTATCCCTGTATGCAGATAGCAGACTAACATCCCAGTTTTTCCCCTCTTGTAGGCCTGTCAGTTCAATATCCACCTGCTGAAGGTAGCCTCCTCTCTCTGCCCTGCTCGCCTCTCGTCTGTCTCTATCTGTTCATCTTAGAGTATTGAAATCCCTCCCTCTGATTATTTGTGTGGCTCAGGCTGCTACAAAGAAATCAGATTTACTAACAAAGATGCAATCCAATTTCTCTCAGGTTTCTATTCACTTACACAATTTACACACACTTTCTTACTCTCTTTCTTTATTGCTCCAGTGAACATCCACTGACATCTGACCTCTGATCAGTGAAAGAGGTGACAAACATGGTGCCATCTGAGCATGAAATATGATTGTTTTATTAATATTATTATTTCAAAACTATGAATGAATAGTTATGATCAGCAATATACAGTGGGTACGGAAAGTATTCAGACCCCCTTAAATTTTTCACTCTTTATTATATTGCAGCCATTTGCTAAAATCATTTAAGTTATTTTTTTTTCCTCATTAATGTACACACAGCACCCCATATTGACAGAAAAACACAGAATTGTTGACATTTTTGCAAATTTATTAAAACCATAAAAACTGCAGTTGTTAGTAAATAGCACAGCAGAGCACAGAAGCTAAAGGACAGGCAATGATCTTTTGGCTGTTTGTGATCTGCTTCGGCCTTCTATAGATCATAGAAGGTTTCCTCACACTCTGACCCTGAGCATGCTTCATGTGCATCCTGAACGAATGACAATCTTTTTGTCTAGCACCACAGGATAATGCTGTTCCTGTCACTCACTGAAAAAGGGTTTTGACACTGTTCTTCACTGCACTGTTTACAGTCTCAAGTGCACTAGTGTTTGGGTTTGCATGTAGATGTAAAGCTCACTTACATGAGATCTCCAATAGGGGGCAGCACTTGATAACTCTTCTAGATGTGTCTGATGTTTACTATTTCTCAAAGAGCAACATGCTAATGAAATGACCATTTTCAACCCTTAAATGTGTGCATGTGAGAATAGATACATAACAATGTATTATGTGCTAGATATAGTCAGGAAGTATATTATATATACATATATTTTACAAAATAGTGTTTCATTTTTGTCTAAAATGTATGTATCGTGTACATACATGTTATTGCACTGTAATTACAATTAATATAACATGTAATTACATCTGTAATTACACTATTTCACATACTATTTAAAATGTGCATCTTAATTTGTACCCCAATGTAGATCCTGTTATATTAATGTAAAGCATTAAAACGATGTTGTGTCGGTGACTGTATGGTAATTCTTCATCTTTGAAAAGTACTTACACAGGATGTTTATACACTGTGTTTATTTAGAGTCCTACCTATAAGATTAACCCTAACCTTAAACTTTTTTATACTGTAGTTTTACAGAATGGCATGCATGTACACAAGAAATATAGTTAACATTTTAGTATAGGGTCCAATTCTTACATTTAACTAGTTGCTTATTAGCATGCATATTACTAGCATATTGTCTGTTTATTAGTACTTATAAAGCACTATAAATGTCTTATTCTGCATGACCATATTGTAGATCCCTTAATCTGACCTCAGCTTAACTACTGCCTTACTAACTATTAATTAGCAGCAAATTAGGAATTTATTGAGACAAAACTCATACTTAGCTAATAGTGAGAATTGGCGTGACCATGATGTCAAGTCAAGTCAAGTCAAGTTTATTTGTACAGCGCTTTTCACGATACAAATCATTGCAAAGCAACTTTACAGCAAATTAAGTTTCTACAATATTTAGTGGTAGCTTAGGTTTTCAGAGCAATGCAACGAAGAACCATTTTGTGTTTCCCAAAACACTATTCGGTGAACAGTTCTTAAAAGAACCATTTAAAGAGCGTTTTAATCTGAAGAACATTTTTTCTACTAAATAAGTAGTTTTGTGCAGTGGAAATACTCCATGCATGTTACAGCTTCTTTATGGAACCATATCATTGTCATAATGAGACCCTAAACTTGCATCTTACTTCAAATGACAAATCACATAACAGATTCTAGTATGCTATTGCCAAAAAAATTTATGTAATCTATGAAAAATAAACCTTACCTTACATTTTAGCCTTTGATCTTTGCACAATGTTCTTGATACACTGGTTCAATTTGGTTTCCAGCAAATGAGACATTAGTGTTTTTTTATTATTATTATTATTATTTAATCTTCTAAGCCCTGCTGTATAAGATTGGATCTGCTGTTTAAGAAGTCTCTAAGAAAGCTCTTCATGTTTAATAATTGAGCATAGTAAATCTAAAACCAACCACATGATGGCTCCCTTCATACAGTAGGTTTAACAGATGCTTTTATTCAGAGTGGTTTACAAATGAGGAATACAACACAAAAGATTGATGCTAAAGGGGCAGTAACATGAGAATGGCTTAGAAAATACCAGCTAGAAGCAAATTGTTTGGGAGTGTTATAACAGCTTGTTGAGAAGAGCTTCTATCTTGGTACCAGAACCAGTGACTGTTTTCTGCAAGTATCTTTACCTTGAATGTGATGTGAGCAGCCGCTGGCATGTTCATTCGGGATATCCACACCAGCACAGTAAACTTAGAGTAAGAGAAACTGAGAAATCCTAATAAAAAAAAAAAAGCCATGCATCACAGCACTGATTCAATTAATAATGCAGCTGCAAATCAGTCATATAGTTGTGTAATATCTCAGTATTTTTCCATTATGGTTTCTGTACAGTCAGAGAACACACAGTGATGGTGATTGGGCCCTTCTGTTAAATGGAGGTCTTTTCCGTTACAAAAATGTGATATTTCATTAGGATTTTAAACATTCTATGACATATAATGTCTTAGTTCTAAAATGTTGCATTGTGCCAGTTCACATTAAATGTATTAAATATTAAAACACCATCAGAATTGCAAGATTGACAGCATGATTTTATAGATTATGGAAGAATAGGGGGTTTATTAGAAGGGAAAAATATTGCTATTTTTGCAAATGTCACAAAATCATAGTAACAAGGCTAATATTTTTAAAACCTTTTTTTTTACATTTTTTTAATTATAAAACATTATTATTATTATTTATCAAAATGGGTATATTTGTAAAAAAAAAATTGCTTTGAAAATATAAGAATACTGGAAACACTTTACCTAAACTTTCCAATTGCCTTATTAACTATTAATAAACAGAAAATGAGGAGTTTTTAAGGGGGTTATGTTAATAGCAAGAATCTGACCTTAAAATAAAGTGCATGTCAACCATGAGTTTGGGTTTATTTAGCACGCTGCAACCTACAGGGGTGTTCACACTGATAGCGATTTGGAGTGATCGGTCTCATACATTTTTATTGAGTTGGGCGTTAAGGTGACATGAACAACAGCAACCGTAGGCAATGAAACAAAATGGAGCAGAGTTTAACTGTAGGGCACCTTCACACTAGAGAAAGAAAACACTCAGGTCAATCTGAAATCAAGCATGTAAATACAGTCAATTGCATTTTGTGAAATAACCTTCTGTTTTGAAAAAATAAGTTTGGTCACACTTTAGTTTGGGGACCAATTCTCACTATTAACTATTAACTTCCTTTTACCTCAGTAAACTCCTAATTGGCTGCAAGGTAGTTGTTAAGTTTAGGTATGGGGTAGGATTAAGGAATCTAAAATATGGTCGTGTAGAATAAGGCATTAATATGTGCTTCAGGAGTACTAATAATAAACAGCCAATATGCTTGTAATATGCATGCTGAGAATTAGTCCCTAAACTAAAGTGCTACCATAAGTTACAACAAAAATGTGTTTAATATGTTTTTTTTTTCCCTTTACATCCCTGTGCCGCACCATCAAAACTAAAATCAGTGGATTCACTGTGTAAAGCCTAGTGAACAGGCTGTATGGTGCGATATGGTGAAACTGGGTGACTCACACGCCGCCTGATCCAGTTGGACACAGTAGTCGAGTAGCAATGCCACTGCAACTGACAGTGACTGGGTGACCATCAGCGACTGAATCACAGTTAGTGTGAATGGACTTTAAATCAACCCAGACATTAAAGCCAAGCACATTCTAGGTCACCATGATATACTTTATAGTATACAGAACAGACTTTGAAAAAGGTATGCATGGGAGCTAATTGGAAGGATGAGCCTGGAGGTTGTGTTCTTGTTCAGTTGGCCTGAAGATCTTTCTCCAGCAGCTGTGGACGGCTCTCAAGCCCAGCACACATTTTTCTGCATGTCCTGTCATTTTCACACAGGCCTGACCATGTTACAGCACGTTACTAATAAGTGCCATATTGTGTAGTTGAGCACGCAACAGAGTTTTAATTGCCAGACATGCGTTTGAGTCCTGTGGAAGCTCATGTGTGTATTTGGGCATGTATTGGTTATTGATCACTCTCCATCACTCTTGTAGAAAGCCAGGCTCGGTCCTGGGAAGAAAGTCATCACTCCCTCTGATCACCGACGCTTCAGTTTACCATCCGGAAACATGAACAGAGTTCAACTCAATGACTTCCATTTTCTGGCTCTTCTGGGTAAAGGCAGTTTTGGGAAGGTCAGTGCTCCTGTCATGTCTCAAACAAATGCTTACATGTCTTTTGAAGATACATCTCACAAAAAGCAAACTACTAGATCTTCCTCAGAACAAATACAGAGTTCTGGCATGAAACTCTAGATGGCGCAGTCCGATAGGTCTAACTCAGTCTGACCTGATGACATCATTATCACATGGCACAGCTGATTGGTTCTCTCCTGTATCAATAGCCAATGAGCTCACTGCTCAACATTCAAATATATGACTAGTGCTTGACGTAGCAGTTGCAGCTTGCTTCAGAAACTCTCCACCTTCCCCAGCTCCACCTGTATACAGTAGATCTGCTACAAGGTGATTCATGTATGTTATATGGGGGTTATTTAATGTATATTATATTTGCAGCAGCAATATTTCTTACATGCTCACAGCAGCATGTTGTTGATGTATTGGCAGTAGCAAGTCTCGGTACTTGCTGTGCCGCAGCAGCGTAGCAGATCTATTCCACCAAGACCAAATACATTAACATTGTCATGTACATTACCATGCCAATCCCTCCTAGAGTTGTCATGACAGAACTTTGTTTCTCAGTCGAGTGAATAAACCACCTTTGACTCTCTAAAACCGTGTAAAGCCAAAAAGACTGAAGGTTGTCATTTTTGGCCTAATACCATAGGTTCTATGGATAAAGGTGCAGTCACATTAGTGAAATTTCATAAAATTTTCGCTGGCAAAAAAAGGGTCCATTGTCTCATCAATAGCTTTGTATGAAGCACAGCTTACACAGAAGTCAAGCAGCTTTCTGTTGAATTTGAGTACTTAAAAATAAGAGAAATCTGCATGGAGAACTTTTTCTCCCTCACTCGAAACGTACGATTGCACTGATTCCTATTGGAGTGACTCAAATTACACCAAGCAACAGTAAATGTGACCGCACCTTAAGAAAGCATATGCTAAATGACTTACTAACCCACACCATGAGTTTCCACTCAGTGTGTGTTTGTTTTCAACATAGGTAATGTTGGCAGAGAGGAAGTCCACTGAGGAGCTGTACGCCATTAAAATCCTGAAGAAGGACGTGGTGATACAGGATGATGATGTGGAGTGCACAATGGTGGAGAAGAGAGTGCTGGCCCAGAGAGATAAGCCACCTTTCCTCACCCAGCTGCATTCCTGCTTCCAGACTGTGGTGAGAAATGCATCTCTTTATATCTGTTGTCTTTTTGTCATTTGGGGGTGTTTCGGTTGCCAGTAGCTGTCACAATATCAGTAGACACAGAGAAGTATTTGTCTCGCCCACATTCCAAATTGTATGACGTTTGGTTAAATCCTAATCTTTCAGTATATTTCATCAGTATATATACATTATCAGTATATTTGCCCGGTAGCTCATACGTATATGGCGTTGCACTTGTGAGGTGAAGCGCTCCGGTACAAATCTGTTATATTGACTATAGTTCCGTGATCATTTTATCCTGCTTTTAATATTGTTTTTGTCCTCTTTGGAGTTTGACATTCACTTTCATTGTGGAAAAGAGCTGCATGAAGAAGAAATTCTCATTCTCTTTCATAGAAAAATGTACACAAACAACTGATGTACGTAGTAGTTCAGGGTTTTGTAAGTGTGAGACAGGGGAAGCTCCTCCAGGAGTCACAGCAGGCCGCTCTCAGTAATGGGCATCCTGCTGATGAATAATGCAACAGATCCCAGCATGCCCTCACTAAATATTCATGAGCAGCACGCAGACGACAAACCAGCCATCATGTCCGTTCTCATTTCACTCTAAACACCTTAACTCCCTCTGGGATGGTCACGATGCCTCTTCAACATAACTGGTGACTAACTGGTTGATTCAGTACTGCATACAGGGACTTGCTTGTTTATTTTCTGCAGCTGTACTATTTATCTCGTGTCTTTTGTTAGGATCGTCTGTACTTTGTAATGGAGTACATTAACGGTGGAGACCTGATGTATCACATCCAGCAAGTGGGCAAGTTTAAGGAGCCACAAGCCGTGTAAGACATGATTCACTTCTTACTGTCAATCAAAAACACACGAGTACAGACTAATGATGAACACATTAGTCAAGCAAAACACATCATGTGTACTAGATGTGACTGAACATGCTGGTTTGTCTACACAGTGTGTTTGTGGGACTATGTTCGCACTGGAACACCAGCTTAATGCATGCTATACTGTGAAAAGTGGTAACCTTTTCACATTTCTTTCCAACACCAACACATTCCAACTTAAAATGATGCCAAATGTGCTGTAATCCTTAATGAAGATTTGTCTTAGATTCTTTAAATCAGAATACATTTAAAAGCATTACAAATACTACCATGTTTATTAAACAGTTTTAAATTGTAAATGTTTTTGAATTACTGCACACTAATGAGAATTTGTGCAAGAATGTATACAAAAACACATACAGTATAAAAATGGCACAGACGAAAAGCTGTAAACATTTGCTCCATCAACACCCAGTCTTCACTCATGAATAAAACTGCAAACAAGGATACATATGAGGGCCTGTGTTCATGAAAAGCTGCTCCTGAAATAGAGTTGTTCATGTTGTTATTCTAATACAGTATATGCATGTGTGAGCAGCAAATGTCTGAGCTCCACACCATTTTTTCACCTTGTCAACAGAGGCTAGAAAATTTCTGCTGGAACAATCAATGCAAGTTTATTTCTTTTGCTTCTTGTAAGGGCTGGGATGCCAGTCTGAGAAATACAAAACAAATGTGTCCTTTCTTTACATGTTAATGAATGTGTGATGTTGACTAATCTGCACTGTGTTGTGTTGACAGATTCTATGCAGCAGAGATTGCTGTCGGACTCTTCTTTCTTCATAGGAAGGGAATTATTTACAGGTGAGTGGATTACAGTATATTTAGTCTTACAGTACATAGTTATTGCTCTACACAGAATTGAGGAGCACAGTATCACACAATGTCAGTGTGTCACCATCAGTGGAAAGCACACATTAATTGGAGCAGATGTGACTCTCCACATGATCAAATTAGATTAGCTGAGAACGGAGCCAGTAACAGCTGAGATGGCGTCAAGACAGACCTATTAAAATTCCATTTTCGTTATTACTGTTACAGCAGTACAGAGAAAGACCCTTAGTTTATTTGCCACATAATTGCAGTAAATTCAGGACAAGCATGCACTGTACTGTTTAGCTTTTACTGAGTATCTTAAGACACCGTGAAATCACAGTTGGGAGTTTTGTGACTTTTAGTCCATGTCTGTCAATGCGCTCCTAAAAGTTGATATATACAGGTGCATCTCAATAAATTAGAATGTCATGGAAAAGTTAATTTATTTCAGTAATTCAACTCAAATATTAACTGGGAAGATGGACTGAAAATATTAATGACTTGCAATCATAGCAAATGCTCTCTTCAATAATGCCTGCAACAAGCAATATAATGAACCATAATGCTGTAATGAAATGGAAGTCTATATCAAGCCATTTGGAGGGTTAAAAGCAATATGTTTTTTATATATTAGCTTATATTTAGTTTTGTTTTGTGCTGATTTACTGGTTATGTATTACAGCAATTCCTGCATGTAAATAGCCACTTGACACTTTCTGACATCCGTGTGAATATTGAACAAAAGTTAGTGGGTTTACCAAATTCATCATGATAGGAGATATTCAGAAGTAGTAGATATACATAAAAACACCATGTTTTAATAAACTTCTTCTGTCAAACAGAATGTCACAGATGTTGTTCATGAAACTTTTGTTTCTTTAAACATAGAACATAGAACATACCTTCAATTGCATCATTTGTTATGAAAGCTACAAATAATTTGCAGAAATAATTCTGTGATTAAACTGAGCCTTATGATGCAAAGTGTACCCTCCTTATTTGCAACAGCTAACATCCATTCTAGAGAAATGCTTCCTGAATATGATGAAAATTATAGACATCAAGAGGTGTGAAAAACACATTTGTGTGAACATAGAAAAATAATTAGTCTGGTTTTAGCAGGCCTGAAATGCCTGTGTGAATATACTTTGTCCAATTTTGTCTAAAATTGCCCAATCAATTGTTCTCTTGAATAAAAGTAGCAACTAGTGATATAAAATAATGAACCATAATGCTTTAATGAACTGTAATTCACTAAAATAGTCTATTTCTAAGACTTTCGGAGTGTTTAAAAGCAAATGTTTTCTCAAGTTTGATTTTATTTTGTTAAAGCTTTTACATAAATTCTTTAGCAAAATAGAGCTTAAACTGTTTTAAACTGTCAGCTTCCAGCTGTTATGTGAAAAAGCTAACATATCAATACTCTAGAGCAGTGGTTCTCAAACCTCTCCATGAAGTACCCCCAGCACTGCACGTTTTGTATGTCTCCCTATATCTGACACGCCCACTTCAGGTCTTGCAGGCTCCAGTAATGAGCTGACGAGCTGAATCAGGTGTGATAGATGAGGGAGACATACAAAATGTGCAGGGCTGGGGGTACTCCAGGACAGGTTTGAGAACCACTGCTCTAGAGGAATGCTACCTGAACGAGATGAAAATGATAGACATCAGATGTGTACAGAACACTGTCATTGCATACACATATTTCTTCTTGTAAACAACGTTATTGACCCATAACACCCATGAAATGCAGTATAATCTTCCTGTCCAGAGAATGAGTCACTCTCTGAGGAGAAGGGGGCTGTAAGAAAGACTGTTTATGTGCAGCGCTTTCTGCATTCAGCTCCTCACTCGCCGTTCCCATCCCTGCAGGGCTGCAGCATTCAGCTCGCATTAATCATGCTCTTTGATGATGAAGACTGAGGTCGCCCTGACCTAGCTTATACTGCCCACTCGCACGCGGCCATATGCACCCACAGCTAAAGACCACACTATTAACTGTGAACTGTCTGCCGGGTGAAACGAGGGAAGGCAGATACACAGCCTCTGCCATGAACATTAGTTATCTGCGGTGAATTTCATACACCTGATTTGTGCATTTTGTCCTCAGAGATCTGAAGTTGGATAACGTGATGTTGGACTCTGAGGGCCACATCAAGATTGCAGACTTCGGCATGTGTAAGGAACACATGTATGAGGGCATGACGACACGCACCTTCTGTGGAACGCCGGATTACATCGCCCCGGAGGTGAGGGACGACCGAGACTGCATAAAAAAAAACATTTATTCACTCATAATGCCACCCCAAACCTGTATGACTTTATTTCTTCTGTGGAAAAGGAGATTTATAAGGTATAAGGAAAGTAGTGAGGAGGGAGGTTGTCAAACTCCAGGTTAAGAGAGAGTGATAACCAATTTTAACTGAAATCGAATGACCCGGACTGCCTCTGTCATATTCACTGCATGTAGGACACGACCTCAGGCCTTAAAGTCCTCACTCTTGCTGACCTCTCAACAGAGCCAGCACCAGCGCAGCACTAATGAGGGGGCGGCTGAGGTGACAAAAGGGGGCGATGACGTAGCACAAAGTAAAAAAATAAAATAAAAATTGTAGCCCATTCGCGTATTTGTCGGACCGTAAACAAACCTGCCCGCTAACGTTACTATTAGAATACTGGGTTCACACAGATAGTGTTTTAGTCGCGAGGCAGGCCAGTGGAAGTTTTTTTTCTTTTTTAAAGTGCAAGGTCTAGAGACGTGTTTTTAGAAGCTGCATTTCTTTGAACTTGAGCGCCGTGTTTTAGAATGATGTATTATGCGCGACAAGCTGCTATAAAGACCTGAGACGAGCGCAGCATTCAAACACAAATTCAAAGACGTCTGTAGCGAATTTCGTTTGAAATACAATGGACAAGAACCGCAGTGGAATGAAAAATGCATTCTGAGTGAATGACCCTACAAAGATGTACTTTGCAAATACAGGTTGCAGAGTCGGCTAGCTATTGAGTAAAACGAAATCGCATAGGCAACAAATTCGAAAATCTGACTTCCAGGAAATAATATGTAGTCGCGAGGCAGGCCAGTGGAAGTTTTTTTTCTTTTTTAAAGCGCAAGGTCTAGAGACGTGTTTTTAGAAGCTGCATTTCTTTGAACTTGAGTGCCGTGTTTTAGAATGATGTATTATGCGCGACAAGCTGCTATAAAGACCTGAGACGAGCACAGCATTCAAACACAAATTCAAAGACGTCTGTAGCGAATTTCATTTGAAATACAATGGACAAGAACCGCAGTGGAATGAAAAATGCATTCTGAGTGAATGACCCTACAAAGATGTACTTTGCAAATACAGGTTGCAGAGTCGGCTAGCTATTGAGTAAAACGAAATCGCATAGGCAACAAATTCGAAAATCTGACTTCCAGGAAATAATATGTCTTAGGCAGCAGTTTTACCACAAATACAGATAAGTGATACCACCCCAACCACCAGAAATACGTAATTGTGTCTGCTTTACAATGAAACTGACAACATAACACATTCATTGCGACCCATTTAACAGATGCATCATTTTAAGTTAGAAACTTGAACAGCAACAAACAATAACAATACAGCAAAATAATCAACTAACTACGACCATCTAGCCCTCTATTAAACATTAAAGAATTATTTCATCATATCTTTAGCTTACTCAGTAGTGCTGCATTCTTAGTTGAACCACTTGCGCGGAAAGTTTGTGTCAGATGTAACAATTAAAATACGACCCCCCCCCCCCCCCCAGGTTTTTAACCCTTT